ACAAAATGAAGAAAGCCTAAAGTTTATGTGGGATACCATCAAAAAGAATAACCTACTTGTCATTGGAATTCCAGAACAGGAAGAGACAAATAAAACCACAGAGAAAATTGTTGAAGATTTGTTGGAAGAGAATTTTCCTGGTATGATGAAAGATGAGAATATATCCATTCAGAAAGTCCAGCGAACCCCAAACAGGATAGACCCCAAAAGTAAATCACCCAGATATATCATCATCAAACTTACCAAAACCAAAGACAAAGAAAGAATCATGAGAGCAACATGGGAAAAACAAAAAGTTACGTACAAGGGGCAACCACTAAGACTAAGCTCGGATTTCTCGGCAGAAACCATGCAGGCAAGAAGACAATGGGATGGTATATATATAATCCTGAAAGATAAAAATTTCCAACCAAGAATTATGTACCCAGCAAAATTGTCCCTCAAATATGATGGTGAAATGAGGATATTTCCAGATAAGCAGAAATTAAGGGAATTTGTTAAAACTAGACCAACTTTCCAAGAGATGCTAAAAGGAGCCCTTTGGACAGAGAAGCAACAAGAGCCAATGACAACTGACCATTAACACACATGATGATATAATCCAGAAACCAACCCAGCTATGAAAGTATCCAAAGTAAATAAGCCTACATGATTGTAAACAGGGAACCAGAGACATCAATTGACAAATGAGGACAACTACAAACCAAAAAGAAAAAAAAAACTGTGTTGTTATAGAACTTCTAGATGGTAGGGAAGTCAAGACAACTACAAGATAGAATGGACTGTTCTAAACTTGGGAAGAAAACTATAAATCATAGGTAACTTCAAAGAAAAATGATAAACCTTTACATCAAAAAAGAGAACCAGCATAAATATTCAGCAAATATTAAAACAATAGCAATGAATGAAGTGATAACACGATTCATAAACAACACGAGCTCAGCATAGAAAATTATATGGAACAAAGAAATTGACACCACAAAAAAGCACATAACAAAAATGACAGCAACAAATTCATATTTTCTGATAATTACATATCTGGCAAGGGACTTATCTCTAAGATTTATAGCAGAAGAGTGGATGACCGAACTATGGTATGTACACATAATGGAATGCTATGCAGCACTAAAGAATAATGTAGAGTCTGCAAAACACCTCATAATATGGATGAACTTGGAGGACATTATGGTGAGTGACATAAATCAATCATAGAAGGACAAATGTAGTATTAGTTCGTTGTTATGGAGGGTCAAGGAAAGGTTTATATATAGAAGGAAACTTTCTTTGTTAGTTGCTAGGAGTGGGAGGGGAGGGAAGGTAACAATGCCAAAAAGAAAAAAATGCATTGACCCATGTCACTTTAGTTTTGTGTATTTCACTGTACATACATTATATTTCAATAAAATGCATTAAAAAGAAAAAAAAAGAATTGCTTTTACTTCATTTGATAAGTTTTGGTTTGGTATGTTTTCATTTTTGTTCATCTCAAAACATTTTCTAGTTTTCCTTGTGAATTTTTCTTTGATCTATTATTTAAGAATGTATTGTTTAATTTCCACGTTTGTGAATTTCCAAAAAAAAAAAAACTCCTTCCATTATTTATTTCTAAGTTCATTTCATTGAGGCTAGAAAACATCCAGGTGAGGAGAGAGAACCCAGGCACGCCCAAAGCAGCAGGACGGGAGAGCAGAAGAAAGGGGATTAAAAGCCAGGAACCCGGACAGAGGAGCAGTCAGCTGCAGGGACCCAGGTAAGGGGGGTATGTGAGGTTTCCAGCAGGGAGACAAACCTGTCTGTCGGTTTGTCCTAAGGTGGTGATGTGTTGATGTGAGTTTTGAGGCTGAGCTACTGGTGTTTCAAACCCAGTGGGATGCACATGGTGCACAGGTATCAGCCCAGCTTACAGACTGAGACAGACTAGGAAGAAGGAAGAGG